CTCCATGGTAAACTTAAGCAACAGCATCATGATCACATCACTAACAAAGAAAGAAGACAAACAGCACAACTATTACCAACAGGGGTTTGCAAAGCTATTAGTGATGCTGCTGCTGTTGTTCTGTCAGTTGAGCATACCCGGTCAGACCAGCATACGAAAAATAAACTTTAAACTACCTCAACGGGCGTGTAGTCATTGAGTCATGTACAAAAAAACTATTTAATGACCTACTTTTTGGTGTGTTTTGAAGCATATGGCAATCTGACCATAAGTAGATTTTTTTTGTACATGACTTAAGGGATAGACGCCCGTTGAGGTAGTTTAAAGTCTGTTTTTCGTACAAAACTAAAGGGATAAATGCAAATTTGAATTCTTGCACATGTATATTGACTATGAGTATGCTGGTCTGGACTGATATGCTCATCTGACAGAATACTGTCACCGTGGATGTGTAGCAGGAAATCTGAATGAGGGGAAAGTTGGATAAAACATAGTATGACCGTTCAAACTACAGATGCTTTAAAATGTATCTATCATTAAGTTCTACGTATGATAGTGGCTCAAATTGGATAAAAAAACTTTTTTGGGAGGATGAAAATCTGAGAAATGAGTCATTCAAACAACAATGAAAAAGTGGGAAATTAGTAGTTATGGGTAAAAAGATCAGATTTAGGTTAATTTGCCTGCAGTGTTAGTGTAAACAAAGTGCTGCGATTTCTGATAGGGTCGCCATTTTTTTACCTTGTTTAGTTATTTAATTCTTAAATAAAATCAAATGGATATTAAAATTAACAAATGTAAGTCAGGCTGCCGTCTTATATGACCAATTTAGTTTATAATGCAGGTTAAGGACACAACATTCGTTTAATCTTTTTATTTCAATTTAATTACCATTGGCTATACGATTATGGATAAACAAATTATAATCAGAGGGATTAATCAATTAGTAAGATAATTATTACTATAAAAGGATTTATGACATCTAAGAGTGAAGACAACAAAATGTAAAATTAAATCCAAGTTGTGAACCAAATCAGCAGACAAGCAATCTGGAACCATCCAACAGTTTGATCTGTAAACTTACCAGGCGTCTTTTTTCCAAAGGACAGTTTTATCTGGCTGGACGATCCCACCTCATAGTTTGGTTTGGAGGCAGATATGCGCACTCTAGACAGAGTGTTTCCTTGGTAACCAGTGCTTCCTTTGACGGAGTTCAGTGCCTCAGGACTAAGTTCTGTTTTACTTATCTGAATGAATAGAGAACAGAAGGATCAGCCGATTTTAGGGGGAACTTTTTTCAGCACATTTTTTTTTTTTTACCAGTTTTATTAATAATATAAAAACAGCAAAAGTGCAAAGAGAGAGATCATGCAAAATTTAATAAGTATTCAGACACTCATGGTAGAAGTTTCCCAAATTACTATTTTTACCCACAGCTTGATATTCTGATTTAAACTGTTTTTTTAGTACTGATTGTTTCATTTGACTGATAATTCTCCCAATAAACTGACCCTTGCTTTTCAGCAGGAATCCCCCCAGTGACTCACCTCTGTCACTGACATAAAGCCAGACAACTTCAGAGCGGACACGAGTTTCTCTGCAGTCCTGATACTTTCTGCTTCTTTGCCTGTAAAACAGCAGAATTAAGTCAGATTCAAACACATCAAGATAACTTTACAAGCTCAGGTTTTTGAGCAGGTCTGTATCTGTGTTTAACAACGCCATGCTGTACTTTTAGTTTTCAAACATAAAGTTGACATTAAAGGATTCATTTCTGAGAAAAGAGAGTAAAACTGTTAATGTGACATAGTCCAGATGTATACCGTGTAAAATTAAATTGAAATACCAGTATCCATCTGGAAAGCTGCCTGTTAAATGCGTTGGCATTTTAAAAAAAATGACGCATTAAAAAAATCCCCATCAGCATCAAACATGTTCAGTTTCTGCCCAAATATTTTCTTTTTGTTGTAGATTTTTTTAACAGGGATAACTAGGATCATACAAAACTGCCCTTTTAAGAACTTTGTTCTCTAATCTCAAACTCGGCATCTTTTCATCCATTCCTGCAATAAGAAGTTTCTTTTGACTGGATATGATTAAACTTTTAAGCTCCTCGGTATAAAATAAATATTTTGATGGAGATGAGGAATCTGCTTTCTGGTCTGTTGAAGTACCAATAGTTTGCATCCAATCTTTTAAATGAACGGTGTTAGTTTTTAGGAATATATAAGAATTATGCTATGATTTCTAGTTACCGGTCTGTCGTAAACCTTCTTTTTCCTGTTTGGTGTGATTGCAATTGCGGATCTTGACCTGCCTGAACCAGAGCGGAACAAAAAATAGCTCTGCTCCGTATTTTGACGGTGACGGATGGAGAAGACGTACGTGGACGGTGATGTATGGAGGAGTAGCGGTTTATGTGGAACAGCTCTCATTGATTAACATGACAGACAAATATTCTGCACAACGTATGTGAGCGGGGCGGAGCGCTGACAGAGTATTTGGAATCTGGGGGTTAGGCAGCTGCCACAGCAGCCCAAACCCTGATGCTACTGAAAAACCATCTGAAAGCAATGATTTGTCTTACTTGCAACTGGTTCATCCAGAACCAACTTCCCACCAGGTTTCAGCACTTTGACCATTTCAGCTAAGCAGTCTGAACTGTGGATGGAGGAGCTGTCGGTCAGAAGAGACGACAGCACCCAGTCAAAGGAAGAAGCTGTGTGGGAGGCTGTGACAAAGACAGGAAATAGAGAAACTACTGTAAGACTATTAATGCTTAATATATGTCAGTTCCTTACTTAAAATTCTAAATAACTGCAGGATAAATGTTACTTTAAAAACTTACCATTAACTCTATATGTTGTGAAATTAAGAATCATTTTAAGTAACATTAAAATCTGTGTTTCACCAACTAAATTAGATTGTTTGATTAAGTCGGAGGGAATTGAACTCACAAAGTGACAGCCTCTCCATGTTCTCCACAGACACTTTTCCGTCAGCGCCCACAGCTGCCCCCAGTTCCTCAGCATATTGTTTCAAGGCTTCCGGTGTCGACGGCTGAGCCCACACCAGCAACACTCTTTCTCCTGCTTTGATGCCAAGGTCTGCCATGATTTCCTGGTAAAAAGATTAGGGAAAGTTGTTTCCATTTTAAAATCAATTGAGAAGTTGACTGCTCATTAAATCAGTGCAATGGAAACAAAAAGCAATTAGGGTAAATTCCAGAAAACAATCATTACATTTAGGGCTTAATCTAAACAAGCACCAGATTGGGTTTTATTTGAAAAAAAGAAACATCACTGCTGGTGGTCCTGAGGTCTTTTATTCTTTCCAGCTGCACTTTTAATTATAACGTTCAGGCAACAGAGAAAATTGCAGCCAGTATTTATATAGCAGCAACGCAAATGCTGGGAGAGTTAAATAACAGCTTACTGTCCTGATCCTCAGTCTGTCAACAAAGCAATTCAACGTCACCCATCAATTTTACATCACACAGGTCTTTAGGTTCAGACCAAACTCCCATGGAGAAAAACGACAAGGGCTTCCCATAATATCAGATAATTGAATCAGTTTAAACATATTTTCTATCTCTCTGCTTCTCGAACTTTGGTCAGAAGATTTTCAGTGACCCTTCAAAAAAAAAGACCAGATCTAAATCAGAATCTTATTTGGCTCTGGATTCATTTTCAGATTTCTGAGCATCAATCTGATAAAAACCCTTTGTCCTATTTTTGTTTAAGAAAGTACATTTTCTAATTACATAAAAAAGCTGAAGTGTGTACATTTTTTTAAACTGCTCTCAGCTTGCATATTTAACATAAAAATTTACTTTGGAAACTCTGCAGTCCTCTTTCTAAAAGTAGTGAAATATATTTCTTAAAGTACATATAAAAGTAGATTAAATTTTTCTTCCCCACACCTATTCAGATCATAATAACGCTGACGAAAAAAACAGTTTTTAACACTATAGAAATCCTTATGTGTCTTTATATTTTCCCAATATTAATAAATAATATTAGTTATTTACTTCTTCATTACCGGTAATGTTTAAACAATTCACTCCTACTGCTAAGTATTTAGTCTAATTCCATACAATTTATCAGCAACCTTAGTACGAGTAGACAGACGATAGTAAAAACACTTAGGCCTATAAGAAAAAAAACAAATACTGTAAAGTAAAAAAAAAAAAAACAGAATATTGATGTAAGAGGGGTATCTAAGAAAAAAAAGTCCAGTTAAATACAGTGGATATGGAGGTCCAATTAGAAACAAATGCATCGGTTTAAATAATGTCTCAATATTATCAAGTTATATAAACCCTTAACCTTAAAGCCTTAATTTAATCCAGACTTGTATACGTCTGATCTTCATCGACCTTCGCTGACAGACTATCTAAAATGTTCTGTTAAACTATATGCTATGAAACAAATCTATTACTTAAAGATCAGAGTATATGGAAAATGGGTTTAGTACCAATAATGATAAAACTAACTTATCAAAAGTAAGAAATCTTCGTCACAGTGACGCAGTTTGTAACCGTTAGTGACACTTTTTAGGGTTTAACGCGCTATTCACGCACTAAGAGGCTGGTTCTACGTTATAAACCGGAAAAAAATTAATTAGCTTTTTAATTACAGATGAAAAATCCCACTAAGTACTATAATTACCACACTAAAAAATAAAATAAAATGATTTTCCTCAATGACTCACCTGCTCTCCTGACTGCAGTTACAAAAAATGTCGCTTGAGCAAACCGATAATAAGTGTTTCCTGTCTTAAATTTTCAAAACACATGTATTTTTAAAAGGTCTCTTTTGTAGTATTTAATGTAAGTAAAGAGATTGTAGTCTTATATGATTAATATTTAATTAAAAGTTATCTATTGCGCAAAATAGCTTCTAATATGAAGCAGATTGTGAAATATTGGTTTAAATTATTTAGTTTATTTGTGGTCTAGTTTTATTTTGAAAACCCAACTTCCGTTTTATGATCGCTGTCGCGGTAAAATGACGTAGCTGTGAACCTCCCAGTTGTGCAGCTTGTTATGGCGGCGCTTCTGAGAGGACTGCGGGCTGGAAGGCTCCTCCGCGGGCTGTCCGGCGGTAAGACAGGCTTAGTGCTTCCCTCTCGCTTTGATTCAACGCTGAACAGCCGACAGAACAAAAACACACCTACATATCTCAATGTTTTAGTTTGATATTTGGGGAATAAACCAGAGCTGACGTTAGCTACCCGAAGGTGATCATGAAGGACAGTAAACAACTTACATTACGGGTCTCAAACTACCAGTAGTTTTATTGGAGCATAAAAGTTGTATTTAAATCAATAAAATCAACCATATGTCATTGTTTTATTGAATTAGTCTCTATAGTTTCTGCAAGCAGGATTATATAAGCCGGCTATTTATAGCTACGTTTACTTTATTTGTTTTTACTTCTGAACAAGATCTGCTCAGCATGGAGTCAAAGATATAAACATTAATATATAGGTATTCATAATTGAGTTCAGTTCGGTCTATTTGTTTAGCTTAAGTTTAAAACAATAGGGGACCATGCGGAAATGTAAATAAACCTACAGTGTCTATCTTAAATATTTACCCCCTTGGATGTTTCACCATTTTATTGCTTTCATAAAACAGTCATGAAATTTAAATTTGGCTTCTTTTTTTTTTCCACACAATTTTTTTATTTTTTATTTTTTTACAAAAATACAACTTTTATTTGATTTATGTAAACTAATTTCAATGAATAAACAATTCTGTAAAGAAATATAATTGTTTAAATAATTATTAACCCCCTTCTAAAGTGAATGGTCTAATTCCTTTTTTCCCCAGTCTTTTATTGTCATTACATTGTAACAAGTACAGAGCAAAGAGATTAAGTCTCTGTATTTAACCCATACCCTTGGCAGAGGTGTCAAGTAACAAAGTACAAATACTTGGTTAGTGTACTTAAGTACACTTTTTAGGTATCTATACTTTACTCCATTACTTATTTTTTCCCCTGCTTCTGATTTCTAATCATTACATTTTCATACAAGTATCTGTATTTTCTATTCCTTACATTTTTAAAACAAATGTTACTTGTTACTCTTGGCTTCGGTTTAATGTTTATAAAGACACTGGAAAAAAATCGAAATCTAGATAAGTAATTTTATCTTAAAATAAGTGCATTTGTTCTTGGATTGAGGAGGTAAAAGACACATTTTGCTAATGGAACAAGACAATTTACATTTAAAATAAGAAAACACAATTGCATTGTCTATTTCTTATTTTAGGAGTACAAATACTCATTCCATTGGCAAACTATCTCATTTACCTACTCAAATTAAGGGTAAATACACTTAATATCAGACATTTTTACTTATTTATAAACATACAAACATAATTACACCATGTTTGTAATTATTTGTATTTACTGTTTTTCCAGTGTATTTATTTACGCCATCCAATGCAGATCATTTGCGACATCCACTTCTAGTGAAAACTAGTGTAATTGGATGAGTCATATAACGCAAACACTCATTGGTTAGCTAAAGGAAATCATCAGAAGCAAGCAGGTGTTCTTCAAACTGCAAACGTGAATTGTCTATGCCATGCTACAATGCTGGATTCAGAAATAGATAATGAAAGATCTGAAAGGTCAGACACAGGTGAGAGCGTGTCGGGAGATGGAGACCAACAAGACCTCCCTCATCTTTGGTCCTATCTCAAAGAATTTTACAAAATAGTCGAAAAATTGACCTTTCAATTCATATAGTGACATCTGGCTGTTTTGTTTTTTTGTTTTTTTTTCTTTTAGTCGTTTTTGGAGCTCATATTTTTTCACTTTCCTTAGGTCAAGTTGATGCTTCAACTTTTACCAGAGTGTTTTTAAACTGCACTTTCTATTCTTCTACTTAAGTAAAAAATGTGTGTACTTTTGACACCACTTCCCCTTGTGGAGCAGTTGACTGCCATTGTGCGGGGCCCGGGGAGCAGTGTGGGGTAAAGGGTCTTTGCTCAGGGACCCAGAGTGGCAGTCTGTGGGAATGGGACTTGAACTCAGAACCTCTGGATTTCAAGCGTAATGCTTGGGGTGGTGGGGGGGTCTGAAGTGATCGAGAGATATAAATCACTTTACTTTAGGGGTCCGGCTGAGGCTCATCCACATAGACTCAATATTGCTAAATGCTTTTTTTTGTTGACTTGAAGGGGATGAATACTTATGGAAACAATAATTTTTCTTTCTATACTTTTGTTTCATTGACATAACTTTGCGGGAATTTGTTTTGACTTTTACATTAAGGAGTTTTTTGGTGTTATTAACTGAACAGCATGTTACTATATTAAAAAGACATATTGTAAAATAGTCTGTCTACTTTTTTTTGAAAGGAAGGCAGACATTATGCCCAGCAATAAAAGAAAATGTTATGAATCTTCTACCTGAATTCACCCTACATTAATAATAAACACTGGCCCCAGTTCTTTGCGGCAAATTTTCATGTCATATTTGAAGGTTGTCTGCATGTCATCTTCTCTGATGTTTTAAGTGTTGAACCAGAAGGGATCATATGCCTTAAACAATCTTCTACCCATTCACTTTCTGTTATCACTTGATGTTCTCTCCCTCCTTCAGTGGTCACTGCTCCAACATCAACAGTCCCTCAGTGCCGCAGCCTGAGACGAGGCTTCCACCGCGCAGCACTCAGGCTGCAGGACGAGTCCAAATCTGATAAAAGCTCCTCATCTTCCTCATCATCCACCTCCACCCACCGGGAGCAGTACCAGGCTCACTCAGCTGAACAGGATACAGAAGCAGCTTCCCAGCAGGATTCTGATCCAAACAGCAGGTCAGTTGTTACACCCACAGAATAGTTTTTTTTTTTTTTTTGTGTCCAACATGCACTTTTGCTCTGTGTTTACACAAAGTGAGCAGGATCAGGATGAGGAGTATGAAACGGAAGAACAGCTGCAGGCTCGCATTCTGACGGCGGCTCTGGAGTTTGTCCAATTACACGGCTGGTCCATGGAAGCCATCGCTGCTGGTGCTGAAGTGAGATTAAAACAAATACTAAAATGTTTTTGTTAAGTGCCCTACTAAGTGATTTTAACCTTTTATTGACATTTCTACAAGTTAAAAGCTGTCCAGTCTTTCTTTATTGTTATATTTAATATAACCAGTTCAGCTTAAGACCATTAGAGTAAAATTTTTTTAATTTAAGTGGATGCAGATTAACCCCGAAATCCCACATCCTCCCTAACCGCCCCGCTCAGTTCCAGACGCGAAGGCTGTAACCTTTGCTTTGGGCAGGTGCACAAAGCACAGGTTACAGCCTTCGCGGTTCCTCCCATCTTGCTCCGCTCCGACTTCCCTGGAGCTCAAGGAGAGCATGCGCAATATAATTATTAATTAATTTCACAGGAGGAAAATATGCGGAAGTTAACTCTTAATTTAATATGACATAATCAAAATTCACCATCAGCATCAATCACACAAGCAGTTTGCCCAATCATTTTCCTTCATTGTGGGTCTTTCTAATAGGAAAAATAATACAAAATTGGTTTGTTCTCTACTTCCAAACTCAGCATCTCTTCATCCAATCCTGCGATAAAAAGTTTGTTTTGAAGTTGTGAGAGGTGCTCTTGGAAGTTGTTGTGGCTGGATTTGATGAAACCTTTAAGCCTATCAGTACTAAATCATTTTTTTTGAACGAGATGAGAAATTTGCTTCCGGGTATGTTGAAGTACCAATAGTTTGCATCCAATAATTTAATGAAACGGTCTTAGTTTTGGGGAATATATACGAATTGCTCTAATTAGTAGGTACCGATCTGTCGTAACCATATTTTAATTTAACAAACTGGATCTTTTTGACATTCTTTTTCCTGTTTGGTGCAACTGAAATTGCGGATCTTGACCTGGTGAAGGACAGAGAAGATGTATGTAGACGGTGACGTGCGGAGGAATAGTGGTGGATGTGTTCTCATTTATGAACATGACTGCACATAGTCCTCCACACGACGTACTTGAGCAGAGCGGTCACAGAGGATGTGAAATCTGGGGTTTAGTGTTAGCATGGGCTTCAGAATATCTTTAGAGTCAACTAATGTTTATGTTGTGCTGCTGCCAGTCTCTGGGTTTGTCCTCTGCTTCAACTGGGATGTTCTACAATGGAGCCGGAGACCTGGTCCTACATTTCATCTCCCAGTGCAACGCCAAGCTGACAGAAATCCTGGCTGAACAACATAATCAGGTCCAGTTGGGCCAGGCAGAGTATGTATTTTATGGATGTTTTCCATAGACATCAGATTTATGTCTAAGTGCTCAATGTTTGTAAATGAAATTAATGAGGACAGACTGGAGTTCCTTACTAAAATAATTAAATACCTGTTTTTATGTGTAAAGATAAAAAAGAAACCTATGGGGATTCTCTTTTTTTAATTTTTGAGAAAGGGTAAAAGCAAGCTATAACAAAGTAAGGAAAATTTCCCGATAAATCAGCAACTGTAGGATGGGAGGAATTAAAAGCTTTCGGAATATAGAAATATGTAAAGAAAATCAGTATTATTGGCTCAGGCGATCTGCTTACATGTGGCAGAGTTGAAGTGGTAACATGATGCAGTAAAATTAATCTTTTCTCTGCTTCTCCTAATGGTGGATCCTAAAGGCTGAGCTTCAGCCGCGCTTTAAGCTCCTGAACAGGCCTGCACAGCTGGAGTAAGAACCAGGCATTTATGCTTAATGTAGATGCTAGAACAGTATTCTCTGAAGATACAGGGTGCCTTACACTAGTAATGGCAAAATGAAAGCTTCTAACCCAATGTTTTGCCTAAAGGATCATTACTTGATGCTTCATCTGCTGCAGCAATGTTACTATGACAGCCTTCATATTGACAGATCTCCAGCTTAGATAAACCGGCCCATAAGCCTGATGCTGCAGACACCGCTGCCCCTCATACCCTTTTCAGCAGTGCAGCATAAAAATCAGCTGCAATAGATTACATATTACATAAAAATAAACTACAAAAATGTCGTTTAAATCATAAAATTAAAACTTCGCAAGTGTTATTATTTTAATTCTGTTTTTTATATGTGTGACAGAATTTAACAGCTATCAATTTATCTGTAAGATGGAGCTTAAGCCGACTGAATCTACTTGCTAAGGATGAGTTTGAATGTGGTTGTTTATTCTGACCGTAGCCTAAACTGGTTATAGGAAGGAGGGAACACTTCTACAACCTCATTATTTAACTTTTTTCCCTCTGAAGCTTTTAGCTTATTTTCCAATTGAGTCCTATTAAATGTAGAAAAATATCTCAGTGTTTTATTTGTCCACTCAAATATTCAAGACTTTTAACTAGGTTATATATAATCCTCCACTTTAATATTCCTCTAGAATAGAATAGACTTCAACTTTATTGTCAATAAACTTTCGCTGTCACATACAAGATATAAATGGTTATTTACATGTGCACAGAGACTATGTATGTGTATGCTATAAATGGTATATAAACAGAGAGGAGGCTATTAAATAAATAAATGTGGAAGCTATATACACATTATACAGGAAAGTTATACAGTCCCTATATTTGGTTTCAGGAGTGTGACAGCTGTGGGGAAGAAGCTGTTCAGGTGCCTGGTGGTTCTAGTCCGTAGGCTTCTGTATCGCCTCCCAGAGGGCAGGAGTGAGAAGAGTATGCTCTTAAAAGAGAAAATCAGGGGCTACTCTCTAATCTTAGAGGGAAACAGCACACGTGGAAGAAGGTTCAGGAGAGGTTGGCAGAAATGGCACTGTATTTCAGTTTTTTAAAAATTACTTTGATCCACACTGCAAAATACAATGGCGACAGCATCATGTGAGGATTAGTCAGGTTTGATGGGAAGAGCAATGCAGCTGAAAACCTTTTATAGGCTGTAGCAGACTGAGTAGAGGTTCACCTCCAGCAAGATGATCACAAGCATACAGACAGAGCTATGAAGGAGGGACCCTATCAGAGCCAGGGCCCTTAAATCTAGTTTATAACTCTTGTTAAGACTTAAATTAATCTTTAGACACCGATCATCCTGTGCTGTTTTGTATAAAGTGGGCAAATATTGGAGAGCTGAAAAAATTAGGTTTGCGATTTGATTGGGAGATAGTGTATTTGAATAAATATTTCTAAGTGCCTTTAAATAAACTAACAGAGCTGAACTCTTTGTGCGTGGCAGACGAAAGAAGACTGCTGACTTCCTAAGAGATGCAGTAGAGACCAGGCTGCGGATGTACATCCCCTACATCGAAACCTGGCCACAGGTAAACAGAAAACTGACTCTGGAGGCACTGCAGAAACGGCAAACTCTACATCTCCTTCTGTTGTGAACTCAGGCCATGAGCATCCTGCTCCTTCCTCACAACATCCCCGACAGCCTGAAGCATCTCTCCACCATGGTGGACGACATCTGGTACTACGCCGGGGACCGATCAACAGACGTGAGTGGATCTTCTCACCCTCGATCCCCCTTTTCTGCTGCTCATACCTTCCTGTCCCCTTTTCATCACCATCCTCACCATATCCGGCCTGCTACCTCTCAGGTTATCCCACCCATCACCTTTCATATCTATTTGCTCCTTTTTTCCCTTTTAATTTGTCAAACTTGCTCTCCTGCACATTATTTTTTATTCCATGCATGTATTTTCTTGATAAACAATGCATTTTAGATTCATATGTGACAGTAAAGTGCCCTTTGTCTTCAACAAAATATAAAAGCTAACTCTGTGTCTGTCGGTTGTTATTTGAAGATGAACTGGTACACAAAGCGGGCGGTGCTGACTGGTCTCTACAACACGACAGAGCTGGTGATGCTGCAGGATTCCTCTCCGGACTTCCAGGACACCTGGACCTTCCTTGATAACCGCATTCAGGATGTAGTCAACATGGCCACCACAGCAAAGCAGGTGCAGAGGAGTTGGAACAAAAACAAATGTGATAAAATATGTAATAACCAGCTGGTTTATCTACTAAAGTAGAAAGTGGAAAAAAAAAAAAAAAAGAATCATTGTTAGAATTTCTTCTTTCTCTTTAGATGCAGTCAACTGGGGAAGCCGTAGCACAGGGGCTAATGGGAGCTGCAGTTACGGTGAGTTAAAAACCTTACCTGTCATAGCATCGGATACATCCATCAGACTTTATCACTACTTGATCGGAAGTACGATCGGTATATCAGCTTACTTGCGCATGTGCAACCAGATATTAATCCGGGTCTCCATACATGATGTACCATATTTTCCGTACTGTAGAGCGCACCTCACTAAAAAACTGGAAATGTACATACATATGCCGCAACAGGCTATAAGCCGCTGATATCAACTGAACTGTCCCCCCACCAAACCTGTAGGAGGAGCTCTATATATAGACCCTGGATTAGGGATAAAGAAGAATGCTATAACCTATTAGCTTGTTAGCTCGCAGCAGTAGCAGCTTCTACTGAAACATGGGTCTTCATTGGCTCTTTATTTCAGCTCTGCAGGAGCTGAGCCCAGTCTCTTCATTGGTTCAGCAAATAAATGGCAATACGTGTGAATTGGGGACATTTGTTCTCCATTGTGCCTGCTGCTAACATGTTCTTATGCTAAATCTCTATATTCCCCTATGCAACTTTTCCTCCTTTTGGCAACTTCTTCTTTTTGACCATTGAGCCGACGTAACAAGTACATTTCTCCACTATAAGTTGATAAAGTCAATCAGTAAATCAATCAAATGAAAATTAGCCCCTTTTTCTTTAATTTCCAACACTGACTTACTTAAACAACATCCTATAGAAACGAGGAATGATTTTATGAGAGAATTGGATGTGTTTTACATTCTCTCCATTAAATTGTCTGATCATCATCAGACATGCTCAGAGCAGTCTGGTAAACTCTATTTACAATGTTTATCTGTATTTTAGTTGTGTCTTTTCTAAGATTATGCGCTATATACTATAAAAGTGCCACGAGATGCAAACATCAAACTTCAAATTACTACTATTAGTGTTGCACTGATACCGATACCAGTATTGGACAGGGCCCTGATACTGAACAAATGATGGTATCAATATCTGTGAGTACTGTCAAATACGGCACCGATACCATTTTGAGATCCAAAAGTTTATTCAACTATTGTCCCCCATTCCAGGTAGGCAATAAAAAGTTCTTCTGGATTCACTTTGTATGAGTCTTTTTCCTGCTTCACAAAAGTAGGCAGCACATGACAAAGCCATGATGGCAATTATTTTACATCCCAGTAGTATGCAGTTCTTCATGTATACACACACACACATCAGTTTTAAACAGATAGTATCAGTATGGTATCAGTATCGGCCCATACTGCACAGCCAGGTATCGGGGCCAAAAAATGGCATCGGCCCAACACTAACTACAATGTTTTACAGATTCACAGCTGGTAAAAGTAGCTGCTGGAGGTGGGGTAGGATTGCATTTCTGGGACAGATCAGGGACAGATGACTGCTAAAACAGAGAGATGTAAACACATTTATTCTCTCAGAAAAATCATCATTAACCTTTCACAAATTGTACTTTGTTATGCCTTTTATAATTAGGGAGAGGAAAATTTATTTTTTTGACCGATAGTGACGTGAATGTCTTATGATTGTACAAACGAGCTCCAGATTGGACTGGTATGAATCACAGCAAAGAAGTAGTGAAAGAAATCACTAAAAGGAATCTTTCACATTTGTCATTGTTGCTTTCATCAGTAGCTTAGAAGGCCAGTGGCAGTCATGGTCATGATACTGGTCATAGGAGTGGAAGGGAGGAGGTGATGGAAGAATTAGAACAGTTAATCAGGAACCTCTAAAACATAATAGTGGCAGCTAGAGTCCAGTTTGCAGGGTTAAGCCAGCCGTAGGTCTTTGCTACTTCCAACACAGAATTATATATTTATCTCTAAAGGTTATAGTACAAAATTTGGCTTTTTTCTATAATATAAAACAGGCCAAAAATGATGAATTTGTGATTTAGCTTGTATTTTAGGATATAGTTTTGGTTTTATTCGTAAATATTTACTATGGTTTTTATAATAAGTTTAGTAAACTGAAAATAGTTTTATTAAATGCACACATTGAGTTTAAGCTACTAAAAATGTTGTTATACTGCAGATAAATTATTTGTGTTAAAATTAGGTTCAATTTGAATCTACAGTGAGATGGGTAAAAGGTCTCTCCCAACCAAGCTCTGGGATGGGATTAACAGCTAAAACGCCTAGACAGTAAAGTGCTAGAGATTAAGAAAAGGGTGAAAACAAAGACAGAAAAAAAAGACAAATGGAGAGTAAAAATACATGAAATACAGCAGAGAGATGATGAATAAGGATCTTTTTAGTTTAATTTTTCATTTTCAAACATGTTTTATCCACACTAATTATTTGATATAAAGTTGATCAAGTTTTGTGTTGGATTATATTTAATTCTTCAGTTATTCTGTTATTTTTGACAGTTTGCTTTAGCCTAGGACACATTAAAGTATGTTAATCAGTTTTTAATAATGATACATAATCTGACCTTGAAGATTTGTACTAAAATAAATATTTTTTTGTTTGTTTTTCAGCTGAAGAACCTCACAGGACTGAACCAAAGGCGATGATATGAACACCTGAGGCACACAGTGCCCGACCAGCCGGATGATCTCATGGACTGAAGATGCCGTATGCTTTTGGAGGCTGGGGCGTCTGCTGTTACTTATTCAGTTGTATGGCGCTGAAGGAATTTAGTTTTAGTCTTTAACAACACAGAAACATCCCGTTTGTCGATCCCGTTTGTCGAGGACACCCTGTATCTTTCTGTTCATCTGCAGAATAAGGGGATATTCTTTCTTTAAGTTTTTTTTTCAAGTTTTTCTATGTATTCAAGAACAGTTTCAATTTGGTCTGTGAGCCCTAAGCCAAATAAAGTGGTGTATATACAATCTATTTCTGCTGTTGGTTTTCTTGTATCAAAAAGAATTTTCTTCAATTCAGTTTTATGGGGTTTTTTTTGTAAATGCAAGTTCACCAGTTAAAATCAAGGCAGGTTAGTGGCTGAATTCAAGGCATTTCACCAGGTATACATAATATCCATGTATGTTATGAGGTTGCAAAGAAAAGGTGAAAATGAGAGTTTTCCCTTTTTAGCAATAAGAGAGTGAAAAAATAAATAATTGTCTTTTTTTTAATTATAAAATAAATTTGGATCATATAAAGTGCTTTACTTTGAAAAATCCCCAACGACTGCTAAACCCGGTTGTGAATGCGGAAGTCCCGCCTCCAAACTGGCTTTCCAACCAATCACTGCTCGACTTTTCAATTCCAACCAATCACTGCTCGTCTTGTCAATTTCTAGCCAATAAAATCTCAGTAAATATATCCGTGAAGGCCTCCGATCCGTAGCAGCGGTGTGGTTAAGAAAGACAATTCTCGCGTTTTTTAGGCTAAATAACCTTTAATAATGCCGTATGCCAACCAGCCGACGGTTAAAATAACAGAACTGACGGACGAAAATGTCAAGTTTGTTATAGAAAACACGGATTTGGCGTGAGTATTTATGCACAGTTTACTTACTAAATAGTTTATATTGAGAACATGCTAGCCATTACCTTCCTGCACCTTAAAACAATTACGAGGCAAAACAAAAAGGAAAAGGGTGCTATTTGGCTTCAAATACTGGTTAAATTCAGCTCAATTTAGTAAGCAGTATTCGATGCGGTTTTACATTTTTGCTTATATTAGCATAAATATATTTCGTTATGAACAGCATGGTTTTTAGTGAAAAACAAAACAAACTTGTGCTAAATAAGCCCAATGAACCACAAGTCTTCTGAAGGAATGTACTTCTGCTTGACCACATTACCCAGCCTAAATAAAAACACACTATACAACACGAGCTTCTCATGTCAGCTGGCAGGCACAGTGTTGGAAGGGTGATGCTTTAGGCTATTGAAGCTACATGAGTTCACAGTAACCGCATCTTTATACTGAGGTAAAACAGATTCTGTTGTGAGATGATCAGTCCGATCTTGAAACGAAATTGGACAATGACAGAAACACTTTCTCAAATACAGCAGCAAGTTTAGAAGAAATGCTGTGAAAGATTATGATCTGTGGTCCATTTAAAGTTCAGATGATTGTAATGCTCTGGGAGGTAAACAGAGCTGTGCAAATGACTTAAACTGTGCATAAATGATGTTTGAGACAATACAGTCGGACCAAACAGCTGAGAATCCATTCACTCCTATTGTTTAATATTGAACATGTGACACTGGATGCATTAAGATAACTCTGATGAAGATCAGGTCTTTTTTTATGAAGTCCTGATATTGAAGTGGTCTCCTTTTTTTTCTCCCTTTAACTGTGGCTACATTTCCATTACTTCTTAGTAATAGTAATAATGTTACGCCCCCAAGGTCTAAGGGTTCTGGAGAGGTAACATAAAAATGTGTCCAGAGAAAATAAGTGGAATGTAAAATTATTTATTACAAAAGATGGTTTCACAGACCCAAAACACAATACAACTTAACCCAATTAAAACAAAAGAAAAGGGCGAACAAATTCAAGAATGGTTAAGTGAAAATAGAATTACAAAATGTCCAAACCAGTCAGTCTAAATTTAACTCAAAACAACCCAAAGGGAGCACCAAACCTAAATTCTAGCTTGAACAAAGACAGATTCAGAAAAATATACAACAAGCTAGGTTGGGCTATTTAACCGCCAGGAGTTCCCGATTCCCCACATCATATTGGCGCTCAGCCTGTGACAATGAAGTGAATCTGACCATCTGAGGTCCTCTGGCTCAGTACCGCACCTACCCCAGTGCTAGAGGCACCAACCTCCACAATGAATAAAAGGGAGAACAGTCATGTTTCTGAATCATTTATTGCTGCAGTGCTTCTAAAATATCTTTTCGTTTGTTTTCAGGGTTGCAAACTCTCTCCGCCGTGTCTTCATGTCAGAGGTTCCCACAATAGGTAGAGTATAACTCATTTTAGTCCATATACAGGTACTGGTCATAAAATTAGAATATCATGAAAAAGTAGATTGATTTCAGTAATTCCATTTAAAAAGTGAAACTTGTATATTATATTCATACATTACATACAAACTCATATATTTCAGATGTTTATTTTGTTTAATTTTGATGATTACAAATGACAACAAATGAAAATCTCAAATTCATCATATCAGAAAATTAGAATATTGTGAAAAGGTTCAAAATTGATGGCCCCTGGTGCCACACTCTAATCAGCTAATTAACTCAAACCACCTGCAAAAGCCTTTAAATGGTCTTTCAGTCTAGTTCTATAGGCTACACAATCATGGGGAAGACTGCTGACTTGACAGTTGTCCAAAAGACGACCATCGACACCTTGCACAAGGAGGGCAAGACACAAAAGGTCATCGCTAAAGAGGCTGGCTGTTCACAGAGCTCAGTGTCCAAGCACATTAATAGAGAGGCGAAGGGAAGGAAAAGATGTGGTCGAAAAAAGTGTACAAGCAAGAGAGATAACCGCACCCTGGAGAGGATTGTGAAACAAAACCCCTTCAAAAATGTGGGGGAGATTCACAAAGAGTGGACTGCAGCTGGAGTGAGTGCTTCAAGAACCACCACACACAGACGTATGAAAGACATGGGTTTCTGCTGTCGCATTCCTTGTGTCAAGCCACTCTTGAACCACAGACAGCGTCAGAAGCGTCTTGCCTGGGCTAAAGAGAAACAGGACTGGACTGCTGGTGAGTGGTCCAAAGTCATCTTCTCTGATGAAAGTAAATTTTGCATTTCCTTTGGAAATCAAGGTCCCAGAGTCTGGAGGAAAAGAAGAGAGGCACTTCATCCACGTTGCTTGAAGTCCAGTGTAAAGTTTCCACAGTCAGTGATGGTTTGGGGTGCCATGTCATCTGCTGGTGTTGGTCCATTGTGTTTTCTGAGGTCCAGGGTCAACGCAGCCACATACCAGGAAGTTTTAGAGCACTTCATGCTTCCTGCAGCTGACCAACTTTTTGGAGATGCAGATTTCATTTTCCAACAGGACTTGGCACCTGCACACAGTGCCAAAGCTACCAGTACCTGGTTGAAGGACCATGGTATCCCTGTTCTTAATTGGCCAGCAAACTCTCCTGACCTTAACCCCATAGAAAATCTATGGGGCCACGCCGCATTGCTGCAGTAATACAGGCCAAAGGAGGCCCAACTAAATACTGAGTGCTGTACATGCTCATACTTTTCATGTTCATACTTTTCAGTTGGCCAACATTTCTATAAATCCTTTGTTTTTATTGGTCTTCAGTAATATTCTAATTTTCTGATATGATGAATTTGAGATTTTCATTTGTTGTCATTTGTAATCATCAAAATTAAACAAAATAAACATCTGAAATATATGAGTTTGTATGTAATGTATGAATATAATATACAAGTTTCACTTTTTAAATGGAATTACTGAAATCAATCTACTTTTTCATGATATTCTAATTTTATGACCAGCACCTGTACATTTATCTAGCATACTTTTTTTGCTGCAGATCTTTTCTTGAAAAAGATAAAGACGATTTGAATGCAAAGAAAAAATCTGCTTTATTATTGTGTGAATTTAAGCTTTCACCCTGCGGCAACTTATTCGACAGAGATTATCGCAAGCCTTTTGAAGTCGTAGGATAAATAAAGTTTGGTGAAAAGTAATTTATCAAAAGGGATTTGTAGCTCCAGCATCGCTTTACCTTTGAAAATCCCTCAAAGGGTCAATTTAAAGTTGCAACGCTGCATTTTCAGCCATCGACTGGATCCAAATCGATGCCAATTCATCCGTGCTGCACGATGAGTTCATCGCACACAGAGTCGGTACGCATCTCCTGTTGATTGCAGTGCAAATCGGCCATTTTATGAGCAGTGAGACCTGAATGCTAATCTGCTTGCTTTCCTGTCTCACCAGGCCTCATTCCCCTCACCAGCGACGACATAGTGGATAAAATGCAGTATTCAAGGGTGAGTCGGTCGTTGCATCAGGAATTCCTGTAGCTCAAAGCAGTTCTTGGGATAGTTTGGGGGAAAACATCCCTCAGAGTGTTGCTGAACCCCTAAAAGACAGAAAAACTTTAACAAGAGCTGACTGTAGTTAGATCACCCTACAAGTTCAGTCCTCAGACTGACAAGAAAAAAGATTAATTCTCTTTTAATTAATTCTCTTCTTTTTTTTGTGCTTAAATAAAGAAGTTGTATTTCTAATACCTCAACACAAATAAATAAAAACAGAAATACAGAAAATGGTAGCATACCATATCAGTATATAAAGAGTTGGAGGTTTGTAGTGGAAGCAGATGTTCATGTCGCTGCCTGCTCCTGCAGGACTGCACCTGTGATGACTTCTGTCCAGAGTGCTCTGTGGAGCTGACTTTGGACGTGCGATGCACAGAGGACCAAACGCGTCACGTCACCTCCCGCGATCTGCTCTCCAACAACCCCAGAGTCATCCCTGTGAGTCTTTGTTCAGGCGCTGCTGTAGGCTGTGGAGCAGAGAAGGAATCTGATGGTGTTTGTATTCCAGGTCACCTCCAGAAGCAGAGACAACGATCCAAACGACTACGTTGAGCAGGATGGTAACCGTCTTATAAGGCAGTTTAAACTTTTTTAAGCGATTTCTTCTGTTTTTAATTTAAATCCTGGGTGCTTTTTCCACTTCCTCTCCTGAAATTTCCAAACTCCACAGACATTTTGCTTGTGAAGCTACGTAAAGGTCAAGAGCTGCGGCTCAGAGCGTACGCCAAGAAGGGCTTTGGTAAGGAGCACGCCAAGTGGAACCCGACTGCGGGGGTGTCCTTCGAGTATGACCCGGACAACGCGCTGCGGCACACAGTATATCCACGCCCCGAGGAGTGGTATGTGTTTCAGTACAGCTCCCCTTAAAGTAGGATTGTCGATTAGTTGATGGATGGTGTCATTCTT